GGGGGTGTCAGGAAGGTTGCATGACCCCCTCCCCAAAATTTTCAAAGGTCCACTTTTTTTCCAAAGACATTTTTTTCTAGGGCCTTTTCACAATGACATAAATGGAAAAGCATTGATGAGGTACCAGCAATGACTCCAAAGACCTTGCCAATTGACATGTCGACAAGGACGCGAAGCACCGCCCACAAGTCACGAAAACCTTAGACAATGGCGGCTTGACTTACCGAGTTGGCAAACATTTTCTTTGCTATCAACCTTCTTTAAGAAAGAGAATTCAGGGTAGGCGGTATGCAAATGAATCATATATTCATAGTGTTAATCTATTTCATGGGAACAGGAGGGGAAATTGTTGAAAAAGCCTCTGTATTTCGCTCCCAAAAGAAGAGGGAAAAGTCGCATTCAGTCAATCTCGTCGGCAAAGTCACTGATGCTGATGCGCACTGCTCGTGTAAATCTGGGTATCTATAATAATTTTTAATTTGTAGTCTTTTTTGTATGTACAGTATTTTCTGTGTTTATTTGCATATTTTATCAATGACTGTGTTGAAGTGTGCACTTTCTTTAATTAATTTTTATATTTTTGTAATTTAAGCTGAACGTACAACTTTCGTGTGTGCCGCCGTTCCAAAGGCATAAGTTCTCAAAGTAAATAAAATAAATAATAGACATCTAGGCCTAGGCTCACGTACAGTATGTTTCGCGTTGACAACCAGCTGTCTAAGGAAATTAAAATGTCCGAGAAAAAGTTTTTGATCACATGACTAAATGTCGCTGATTAGTCGGTTTATCTGTCAATCAAATCTCGTTGAGATGTTAATTGCGTGACATAATCTTCCAGGAATTCTGAAACTGAGCCTGCCATCCGTTTCGAGCTAGTGGCACTGTAATCAATTTTCGTGTCTCCCACTGAAAAGGTCCAAAAGAGTATGATCACGACCCACCCAGATAAAATCCTGGAGACACCCCTGGTGTTCCCTTTTGACAGTGTTCAATAATATTAAATAACAGTAATTTAAGACTTTACAGTCTTGTCCAGTTTAGCATTGTCAATTATTTTCCATTGGTGTCCTACAGTATTATTCAACAACACAATTTCACACTCTAGAACCTGATTTTACTTTGTCCTCCAATTTTCAAGAATCCCTCCAATGACATTACACTTCAACACCACATTTACATGCTTGTCCAACTGTGTTATTTTTCTATCAAGAATACTTAGTACATTAGTACTTTTGTGTTACTGCTACTTTACTTTACCAACATTATTAGAGTTCAGTAAACAGTTACAAAATTAGCACTAGTTGTTAATTTGCTGAGTCAAAAAGTAATGCAGATGGAATATATTGATATGCTTGTCTTCCAGTCTGTTGGTCATGGGTTCTAATCTTGTGAAACACCATTAATTTTTCCTCACGTTGTCTATAAAAACATCTCCTTTCTATCAATCAATAAATCAATCAATCAATCAATCAATGGATTTATAATGCGCATATTGCAACTGTCTCTATATGCCAACAAAAAATGTTTAAAAGACCAATAAAGTAAAGCAAGCAAGTGAAGTGGGTGTGAGACTAAGTGCCATCAAGGTAGAGACAGTGTGCTGTTCTTTGAGGGCCAGCCGACCGACCCCCGGGGAAACATAATTGACATGAACACCTTACCAACCCATTCCCTGACAAAACCTGGAAATGACTCACTCAAGAAAAGATAAGTAAATAAAATGGCTGATATATTATGACTAAGTTGAGTCAAAGAAGTGTGATTTCAGTTGTTTTATAACCCTTTGACCCCCGAATTATTTAGATCTTTCGGCACCCTCACAGTGAGTTATTTGGACAAAATATGTTTGTTTTTTGTTTTTTTTTATTACAATCATCACCACCAACTCCTAGCACAACTATCATCACTACCACCACTGCTGGCACTAGCACTATCGTGCCCCCCTAGGGCTAGAAACTACACTGTTTATTTCACTTTCCAAATCACTTCCTGGATAATCGTCATCATCAATGTTTTCTTGGGAGTCATAAACTATCAATCGTAAAGCACCGTTGGCATTTATTGTCAAATTATTCAATATAAATTTGTTTTTTACGAGGCTGTCAGAACGACTTGGGAATGATGATGTCACAAAATTACGCCATATTACTCATACTGGTCAGGTGCAGTGGCAGCGCCAGTGGGGTGGCAGGAGGGGCTTAAGCCCCCCACCAGACAGGTCAAGCCCCCCACCCCCGCCGGACAGAGCTTGTCGAGCAGTCAGACCATAAAACAATAAAAATAGGCCCTCATCCAAGCCAACACATGTCTGTCACAGTCTGAGAGTGCCATTTTCGGCCATCTAGAGGAAACCCCTTCTCCCAGCTCGAGCCTACGAGCTCAAGTCCCCCCTGTCGGACAACTTAGCCCTACCCCAGAAAATATATCCTAGAGCCGCCACTGGTCAGATGGTTACCCCGAATAATATTACCTGACCCGCAAGGCCGGTATACCGGCCTTTAGGGTTATTGCAGCGTAAGTGCGCTGCCGTTTTTCCGGCCTTCCTGGTTCAAAGGGTTAAAGAGAGTAAGAGATGGTGATTCACGTATATGTACAGGTACAGTAGGTCATTCCATAATTTAGGAGCAGCATTAGAAAAGGCACTTCCACCAAACGTTTTCAGTCTGGCAGGAGGTACAAACAGATTTGACGAACTTGACGTTGACCTCAGGGACTGTGTGCATGTGCTTGATCAAAGTTTGATCAGATCGGTGATTTATTCTTTAGAGTTTTGTTTGTGTAACTCATAGAAAGGCAGCCAGTGGAGCTGTCAGATGGTAGGTGTGATACATTTTGTTGACTAATAAAATTTAACTTTCATGAATTTATTTACAACCAGAGAGTTATGAACACCAAAAATATTATGTCGGGGAACCGAATCTCAAATTATGTATTTGCAGAGCCTCCACGTGCATGCGTTGTGGCAACTCAAAATTGTCCATTTTCCAGCGGGGTATAAATGTTTACGACGCATGTTACAAGTGAACTTTTCACCGGGTAGGCAATAGTTAAACCTTACATTTTTGGGAATCCCCACCAAATATTGGTATGAAAATGACAACATTCAGTCAAAAAGGTTATTTTTAAATCGAACGTAAATATGATTTAGCTTTAGTTTTATGTAACATTTGATAGATTTGAAGAAAAGGATTTGCTAAACAGCAGACCAGGTCAATTAGGCTAGGCCGAGCTAATTAGGCCAAGCCGTCACGGTAAAAGTGGCCGTCCTAAATAATTGTTGGCTGTCGAAAAAATGGCCTTACAACTCGCTGGCTAAGCCTATGGTGTGAAATGTTCAAAGCATGGAGTAACCACATCTGCAAATGGTTATGTGGTAGACCATAAAGTATGCCATTGCTATAGTCAGGTCATGTCATAACGAGAGCATGTACAATTTTCTTTGTTGTGTTGTGAGTTAGGTATTTGCGGATGGCTTTAATATTGCGTATGTGGTAAGATACTAACTATCTTATGCGGTTGATTTGCTTTGACATACTGTAGATATTTTAGAGTAAAAAATGACACCAATGTTGAGAATATCATTGGATGACACAGTAGACATTCCTCCAATGCTAATGTGTTGTCTCTGAGTTACTTGTTTGAAATATATATGAAGCCTTGTAAAAGAATGTATAGCTCATCTATCCAATAATTGGAAAGTTATTGCCATTAATTAGATGTGACCAAATTTAAAAATGAAAAAGAGATAAATTTTTTCAACAGCTATTAGTAAGCTTGTATGTTTTTAATAACTATGTACACTTTTTGTCTCTTAACCATGTTAATAATTGTGCTTATAAGCATCATAGAGGCCTGCACAAGTACAGTATCAAGTAAACAATGATGGTGTATTAAAAGCAAATGTGGCAAAAACAAGCCAAACCAGTCACTCATCGCAAATCGTGTTTCAGAGAAAATGGCCAAAACATGCTGGAATGGCAAATTTTTAAAAATCTATTTTATTGCACTAAACTAACCTTTATATATCTACACATCATTCTATGCTGTTGTTTTCGAAATTTTCAATGTTAAAACAATATTTTTTAAGGATTTAAAGATAATTTCTGCATGAGAAATGCCTGAAATCATAAACTTTGACGGTTAATTTCTCATATATTGTTCTTTAAACAGCTGTGTGGTTAAACACTTGTAACTTCATAAAGTAATGTCCAATTTGAATGATATTTTTACCATTTTATAGCTGTTATTTTACTCTCTAACACTGTATTAATAACTGAAAATCGATTTTTGCGACGAGTGACTAGTTTGGCTTGTCCTTGCCACAAATACATTTTATTAACTTTATTTCAGCTTGTAAAATTATGCTCTGCCATGGTAGAAGCAGGCAAGGTCTTTAATGCAGCTACGGGGTAAGTTAAATTCATTTAAACTTCCTAAAATTATTTTTACTATAAAAATAATATTTTTATTAAATTAAAATAATTTTTATTGTTATTATTATTATTATTGTTATATTTTCACTTTCTTTGTACTTTGATTATTATTTAATGTTACTTCTAAATTATTGTTTTCATTGTAATTAATACTCTTGGTTACTTTTATTAAATTGTATAAATCCAATAGTTCCTCTGAGTAATAGTCCTACATTGCTGAACTTAAGTTTTCGTACTACCAGAATTTAATATTTATAAATTTAGAACTTGTACCATTTTCAAGTAGTTTACCACCAATGTACAATATTGTGTTGTTTCTGAAAAGTGCCAAAATGTGCCTGTTTCCTTAATTGGCTTTGCATGTATTGTTGCAGGTCTTATTATCATAAAGTTAGAGCAACTTTAAAATTAAAATCATTCCATTCACAATAGTTTAGAGGTTATTGAATCTTACTAATCAACTCACCATAGTCTTGGATTCCTTTAACATTGATACAAATTTATTAAGGCTATACAATATATTTTTCTTTTTAATATATAGCCATGGTAATTAATTTAAAGACCTATTATCTGAAATCTGTATTGTAAATTCAAACCCAATACATACTTAGTTATCTCACCCTGTTAGAGCATGTCTCATAGAGTATCAAAAGGCCATAGTCCTACAGCATCTATGATGCCCTTTACATACTATAGGCCAAGTTATTGCAAAGAGGCTCTTTGCTATTTATAAAATCACAAATGCCAAATGATTTCATTTTGTCTTTGCAATGTTCTTTGCCATCAATGAAGTATGCGCACTATAGGCCAAATGATGTCATAGCTTACCTACTGTACTGCCTCTGGGGTGAACCTTTGAACTCACGTAACATCCAGCGTTCATTATAGCAATCAAATTGTTTTTGTTTAAAGCACACAATTTTCAGGAATATATTTATTTACTAAGCATTCTGCTTCCAGTGGAGATGAAAATTTGGAAACTCATGTGAAGAGAAAGTGATTGGTTATAAACTCTTTATGTATTTTTATTTTAAATTAATGGTGACCCTTACATCTAATAAGCTGACTTTAAAAGAGGCCTTCAAAATACAAAGACATTATTCTACAAAAAAAATTTACTCCGACCTTAGCTTAAATTTTAATATATTGTTTTTTTTTAATTAAAAAACATGCAGCGTGATTAACTTAACAACATTAATAATTGATATAAATATATTGAATAATGATTCTTTGCTCTACTGAGCTCTATAAATACACTGATGGATTTATAATTATATTATATTATTTTATTTTCAGAGCATTTGTTTCTGGTATAAATGATGTTAAGAAACACTTCGATAATGATAAGTTAGTAGAGGTCAGTATCTATTCAAGGCCAATATGTGCAGTTAATGTTCTTAATGTTAATGTTATGTGCTTGTTAAGCTACTGTAGTCTAGCTGTTATTACATTCATTTAGTTTGATATACGTGTCTGCAGTACGGGAGTTGCCTGCAATAGCAAGTTTGTTTTTATATATTTTACAATAATTAGTGATTTTTAATATGAATGTATACATTATGTATACATATGTATTTAACATACATGTTAATGTCTGAAGTACTGTATACACTATTTTATGAATTTATGCTTTAATAGACTACAATATGCTGGTTAATTACAGATGATAAGTGGACTTTATATATGGTAATATTAATTGTGTTTGTGTTTCATTGTTTCAGGATTATTTTGATAAGTTCATTCGTTCTCTGAAGGATGTTCAATCTTATCATTCTGTAAGTTCATTCTCAAATTGTTTGTTAAGTCCAGAAAGTAAAAAGTGAGAGTAAGAAGGTGAAGATATAAGAAATATGTGGGGCAAGAAGTGAGCAATGCGTAATAGTGAGGCACTTTATAATTGCCATTTATTGTTTTAATGATGTTTTTTTTTTTTTATAGATTCTAATTGATCAAGCCAATAGAACAATTTGTAAATCTTACTCAGAATTCCTAAAAGGGTAGGTTTGAAACTTTGTAGTTTTTCATACACTTTAATGCTACAGCATACATGTGTAACACTCATTAGCCTTGTAAACAAACTCATACGGCACATAGTTTTTTTAATTTTCTTTTGATGCTACCAACTGGTGGAGAAATAGGCATATTAAACAGGATGTGCTGTTCAACAGAGAAGGAAAGATGGTTTATCCATGATTCTTCCCACAGGATGTGTTGGCTTTTGTGTAGTAGCACTCCCAGACAATTCATGGATAAATATGGAACCTCTCCCTCTTTTTATGCACAATACATTTCCTTGCAAGAAACATTGCTGTGTTATTGTTTCCTATTACTGTTTTTTTCTGGAATCTGACACAATCCTAAAATTATTATTGTAGATCAATACAGTATATATTTTATATTTATGATATATTATTTGTTAACATATAGCATCTATCATCATTCTGATGAAATTTAATTGATTAAATAATTTCCCCTTTAGTTGAAATGTTAAATTTGGTTGTTTTTAAAAAGACAATATCCACCAGTGATGTTTCCTAGCTTTGTGACTTTTATTTATGAATTATTTTAATAATTTTGTTGTTTACAGCATTTTTTACCATGTCAATTAGATATGTGTAAACTGATATGTCAATTGGATATGAAAATGTTACTTTACAAATTAATAAATAGTAACAGAAAGTTAAGTGATGAATGAACTTTTATGTTTATCAGTAAAAGTAATTTGAATGACAATACTGTAAACAGTTTTGGTTTGTAGAAACTGAAATTAAATATTTGAATACAATCATATAACTTGCATTGTCACTTTTAATAGTAATAATTTAGTAATTTAGTTTTCATGTATAGCACACACATATTTATATCAATAACAACTGCTCAAGGCACTTTTTCCCTGGTCGTTGGATACAGAATTAATCATACTCAACATGCAACCTCCTCCAATTCCCGGATATTACTCATAGTAATTCATCTACTTCACCAAAATAAAATGTCATTCCGAATCATTCAGCTGCTTGATTTTCCTGGGACAGAGACAAACATTGCAGACTTACGCATTTTTGTTCTATCTCTCACGCCTAAGGGCCAAAAACCTTGCGCATAAATGTAATATTGCCTATATTAAAAATATGTGTATTGTGGCCTTATTAGCTATCTTATTCATTTCACTTTATTCATCAATATCAATATAAAAAGTGTGGCATGAAGGCCAAACTGAAAGCAATATACACATAAATTAATTAAAAATTAAAATATAATTCAAATTTATTCAACAATGACATGGAAACAATTTTAACGAGAGGAAAGGAAAAACCATAATAAAGGCCATTGTTAGGATCACAATTAGAAGGCAGGCCTTGTCTCATAGTGAACCTAGATAATAATAATAATAATTTTGTTTTGTTGGTGCTCAATTTAATAAATGATTATAGCTATGTTTAATTATTTTATTGTGTATTGTAATTACACAATTATTACTTCTATTCTTAATTTAAACTAATTGTAAAACTAAAACCATGTTAAATTTATTGTCATTATAATTACACGTCCAGCAAGTAAACTCGTCTCACAAGGATGGAAAAATGTGACTATCAAATTTTATTTGATGTGACATGCCTTGGTTGTGATGACATCACATTCTGACCATAATTAGGCCCATCATGACTATATATGGGCACATCATGACTATATATGGGCATACAACAGTTTTTTGTCATATAATATTTGATGGTGTGGACAGGACTGAATGCTGTGTCAACACTCTCCAGTGTTATCAAAGAATATAAATAGAACAAGAGAGCCAACTACGCTCATTGAAAACGTAAAAAACTATACGTCATACGCAGCTAGTGTAGGACGCCAACTAACGCTTGTATGCACCTTTTATTACCCAGTACTCCACCTCGCATGGTCGGTTTGTCTGTTTATCTGTTCTCCACAAGATACAATACTTTTGTTTTCTACTTACTGAGTTCATAGCGGGCATACTTCTATCGCGCTGCACTGGGTAATAAAAAGTGCATACAACCGTCAGTGGGCGTCCTACATAGGTTGTTAGTCTTAGGGAGTAGAATTACATCTATTTGACAATGAAGTACACTATTTGTTTGGAGTGAGAATAAAACATAAAACAAACTTAATAATTAGTAACTATCAATGAACTAAATATATATATATATCACTCTAAATTTATTTTAGTCACAATACAATTCTAACTCTAATAATAATATCAATAATAACAATAAATTAAAGCACATACTGTACCGGTAATACAATTCTAATTATAACTAATAATATTAATTACAAAAACATTTATATTATACCTCCATGTTTATATCATCATACAGTATGTTGATATAAAATAAAAATATTCATGTCACTGGTGATAATGATAGTAAAGAAATGATGAATGACCTGATCGATGAATGTAATTAGCTATATTTAATGTCGGACATAAAAATACAGAATATATAACAAAGTATTGATGTAATAGTCATTGTCAACGTTAAAATGCATTAATCATCTTCACTCTTGTTGCAATATTTCAGTGATTTAAAGAAAGTGAAGGACACTAAGAGAGCTTTTTACAAGATAAGTGAGGATTTTGATACGTCATTGAATAAGCATGCTCAGGTGTCGCGCTCTAAAGCAATGGAAGCGGAAGAAGCGGGGAACCTCCTCATAGCAACAAGATCGGCGTTTGGTCACACAGCTTTAGACTACGTCAAGGAGGTACAATATCAACAGATACCTTATTTATTTAACATTACATATTTTAATATTTCTTTCACAACTAGCAGGTAGGACCTACACTCACCAATTACAAAATTGAATGATGCTCTGTAAACCAAGTCTCATTATGAGGCATTCCTTTTACAGTTTGCCATCCAATTTGAGACAACCTTTGGGACCTGAAAGTTTGGGGTAGTCTCATTGGTTGGTCTCCAGTTAGAGGGCCAGCTTTCTTTAAAAGTTTAAAGATTGTTATTTGAGTCTGGAAAAATGGTCTCGAATTAAAGGATTCTCGGAATTAGAGGGGGCTCGAATTGGAGGGTGCACTGTATATTTAGAAGGCAAGCATCTTAGCTACTACCAGTACAGCACCTTACTGCTACTGTATTAGTAAGTTAGATCTGGCTCTACAAACACATGCCACAGGCTTTGCCTCCTTGGTTTCTCTGCACTTTATGTTTATAACTATGTTTATAAGTGAATAAATACTTGATACTTGAATTGATTATACAAAACAGAACCAAAATAGATTTACATTGGCATATAGCAATGTTATGTGCGCCTAACATCGGAGGTCCCAGGTGCAATTGTTACTGTTCTTCGGTTTAGGACAAAAAATGCAATATAAGTTTATGAAAATAGGTGAATTAATTTAATGAAAATATATGTAGTTAGGCAACTTTTAAAGTGTGACTGACTGAACAAACAAATAAGTAAATGAAAATAGTTATTGAAAGAAGAATGTAATAGATAATATTAACTGTATGTACAGGTATAACATGCATGTATGCTTTACTGAGAATTAATACCAATTGAGTGAGTAAGTGAAAAAATGAGTGAGTTGAGTGAGTGAAAAAGTGAGTAAATGAAGTGGATGAATACATCTTTGTGATGTATGACTTATGCGTTTGCTGGTATTTAGATTAACGGGTGTTGCTGTGAGCTATGATATCAATCTTGTTTTTTTCTTTTTGAATGCATTATCTTGTAATAAATAGTTGAAACATGATATCCATCCTTCATTTGCCTAGTGGACATCATTCAGTCTTAAGCTTTATTCAATTTCAACCAAATCCATTTATTTTTTAAATCAAGTTAAGAGATAAAGAAGAAAAGCTCCATCAATAGCATAAATTTAATTTCAGTATCTATAATATGTGAAATTTTTACAAACTGTACTACAGTAATAATATACAGTATTCTTGTTTTATCCTATGTATTGTAAACATATCTGTGTTTGCACCGGCCTAATTATACTAGTGGTGGAAACTGTGTTGTTTTGTACATAAACAAACAAACGTTTTCCTTTTTTTCCAACAGTTGAACATGATTCAGTCAGCCAAGAGGCATGAAATCCTCAATAATGTATGTATATGAACTTTGACCTGTTTATATTTTGTTTTGACAGTTGATAAGGTAGTTGAAATAGAAAGATAATAATTATTTGCTGGTTTAGTTGGAATCATTGAGTAAATATCAGAATTCATTTGTGTAGCATATTACACTTCCCTTTGGCATGTGTTTACATGATAACATTTTGGATTGACCAAATTTGTCCAATTGTGTACCTTTATGCACTATAAATCATTGCCTAGTCTAAACTGAATGCAATTAGTGTGAGAAGAAAACTGTAAGAAATTTGGGACACATTAATGTTGAAGACTTGACAGGCATACCGAGTGAATTCCTTCAACATTCTCTGGCTATAATATTATGCTGTAGCATCATTTGAGCTGTATCAATACCAACAGTCTTTCAAAGATAACTTATTAAAAACTACAATCTTCTAATAATATTACAGAATGATATAATTATATATGTGTTATGAAATATAATAATATTTTTTTAATTGCTTTAAATTTGTTTCCATTTTTTTTTCTAGAAGCTCAAAATCAGTCTTTTTATTTTGATTTAAATCACAATTCATTTTTTGTGTAATTTCTTTTTTTTGGCATAATTATGACCATTATTGGATAAATGTAAAATTGAATAAAGGTATGGTCTGAAATGACAAAAATAAGTGATAAATTGAATTTGGATTTTTTTTTTTTCTAATAATATCTTTAATTTAGATTCCTGCTTGTATGTTATCCTCACTATATTCAGGACACATTTAGTACTTGGTAATTAATTCATAACTAGTAGTCAATCATTATGTAAAACCTATAACATATGGTAATATGATATTCTGCAGTAATTAATTTCATGTCAAAATCTCAATTTATGGCAAAGTTATTATTGTTGAAAGGTTATTAATAAAACGTATCTAATAGCTAATGTTCATGAAACAGTGATTGGTCATTAAATTCATTTACACACAATATTGACATTCATGTGTGGTCTGTTAGTCATAGACTACCAGTAATAGTTAATGAAGGTGAGTTTACAAAAAAATTGTAATGATAACAAGTGATTGGTTAATTAATAAGCCCTCATTAAAATACATTTGCCAAAAAATGAAAATAAATATTTGATGTGTTTAATGTACTCAATTCTCAACATATATATCTTGGTATCTTTTTATTCAAATAGTTTGTACATAAAATAGCATATTTAAATCACTTGTGAAAAATAATATTATAATAATAATATAGTATCTCATTTAAATAGCACCAATTCCAAGCTAGATCAGATAAAAAGTTTAAAGAAATGATGTCATTATCAATTAACAAATAGTATTTTTTACATTTTATTTTTGCTAAACAGATGATGTCTTTTATGCATGATGCCCAATTTATGTATGTTTTACATTTCATTTTTGCTAAACAGATGATGTCTTTTATGCATGCCCAGTTTACTTATTTTCACCAAGGTTATGATTTGTTAAGAGACCGACAACCACAACTCAAGCAACTTGCTGTCAAGGTAAGTAAAGCCAAGACAATGACAACCACAACTTAAGCAACTTGCTGTCAAGTTAAGTAAAGCCAAGACAATGACAACCACAACTTAAGCAACTTGCTGTCAAGGTAAGTGAAGCCAAGACAATGACAACCACAGCTCAAGCGACTTGCTGTCAAGTTAAGTAAGGCCAAGACAATGACAACCACGACTCAAGCAACTTGCTGTCAAGGTAAGTAAAGCTAAGACAATGATAACCACAACTTAAGCAACTTGCTGTCAAGGTAAGTGAAGCCAAGACAATGACAACCACAACTCAAGCAACTAACTTGCTGTCAAGGTAAGTAAAGCCAAGACAATGATAACCACAACTTTAGCAACTTGCTGTCAAGGTAAGTGAAGCCAAGACAATGACAACCACAACTCAAGCAACTAACTTGCTGTCAAGGTAAGTAAAGCCAAGACAATAATAACCACAACTCAAGCAACTTGTTGTCAAGGTGGGTGGAGCCAAGACATTGTGCTGCTAATTACTTGCCTTCCAAATCCATGGTTTTAGGAAAATCCTGCAAGGTTTAAAATTCAGTTTATTGTCACTTATTTATCAATTTAACATTATACTTTTAAAATCACTCTATTTGAAGCGTCACATGGCCAATACTATTTCAGGGTCACTGATTGTGCGTTTCTAGTGCTTTCATTGAGTTTTTACAATTGTTCTATGTCACAGTATCGTAATGAACAGCATTTTAAAGTTGTTATTTATATGCAAACTTTTGTGTGAACTGCACAGTTTTTATTGCATTATTCATAATCCCTCATTGTTAATTTTTCATTGGTTTTCAAGACTGTGTTTATTGCTTGTATTCAGTTTTATTGTTTCCTGTTGAAACATTGCGGATCAATAAAAACCTGAATTTTATGAACAAAATGATATTTATTTTATAATTATTCTAGCCATAGAGGCTATAAATATACATAAAGTATATTACATCTGCATATTACAACTATTGTTTAGGAACTTTCCATATGATTGATGAAACTGTCTGTTGTATTATAATGGGGACGTATTTGTTATCTTTTAGTTGGATGCAATTTCAAAGATGAACATTGAAGGTCAGAAGGAAATGGAGAGAAGACATGCGATGGTTGAAAAACTGGTAATACTAAGTTAACAGAAACCTTACCATTGTGAATAAGACTGGCCTTGCACTAGCTAGGCCTTGAAGCTCTTTATAGCCCTTGGCATACATGCTATATTTGACCGACATAATATTTAAAGTCAAAAAGTCAAAGTAAAACTTCATTATTCAAGTCAATATCAGGATATGATATACTGTACATACATGTACCCTGTACATATAACATATGAAGTAAACAAAATTGGGTTTAGTTTAAAAGTTGTAAACAATTTAAAATTAATAATAAGAAATAATACATTGACAATCTACTTTTTGAAAGAGAAATATGGGTTTTATTGATTGATTGATTGATTCATTGATTTTTTGATTGTAATATTTGATTGATTCATCAGGATGAGATATGGAACAATCCATGTGGACGTGATTTAATTGATATGGAAGGATACTTGTACAAACGAGCCAACAATGCATTCAAATCTTGGCACAGGTCAGTTTCATTAAATATATTTACTTTTTTAATTACTTTTTTCAATCTTTTACAAGGTAACGAAAGTAAGTGCAAAAAAAAAATTGACATCCCAGTAATTTTAAATGACTACTGTACAGGTTTTTGTGCTGCTCAGTGTGTTTCATTTCAATTACTAACTCAATGATAATAACAATATGTGAGATACAGTATGCAAAAAAGGGTAAAACATTGCTTGGGTTTGTTTTATGTTATGCTATCTTAACTATATTTTGGGGGGTTTTAGTGTAAGTTGTTTTTTAGCTTCCTTTTTGTTGTTCTTTGATTGTGCACCCACAGACAATATCAAATATAAACAAAGTGATGGGTGCCACCATTCTGAAAGTGAACCCACTAAATCGTATTGTATCATTTCCTTATGACTTGATCGTAAATTAAAAAAATTTATCTGGTTTCTATAATGTAGTGTTGTTAAACTTTCATTTACGATTGGACCAAAATAACATCGGCCTTTACCTGGACGTAAATCGGTGATCTTTTTCAACTGACTGTGTTGTTACTTTAGTCTGGTCATACCGTCATCAGTCCAATGATGTAATGCGCTGATGTTGGTCGGGGCTCCGTCTGCTCCTGTTGTGTTTAATAGTTTGTTGTAAATTATTGAGAGTTCATGACCTCATTTCTGATTTGATCGTTATAGCTAGTGAACTAGTGTAATGTGATGGTGTGGCAGGTAATAATGTAAAGTGCATAGAGGCAGTGAGTGTGTGGAGCAGTGTGTAAGGTGTGGGAGTTCGAGACCGACGCTTGTCGCATTGCTTGTGTCCTTTGGCAAAACACTTTACTTACGTTTGCCTCTCTTCACCCAGGAGAGTATAATTGGTAGGGGGGGTCATGCTGTTAACCTGCTCATCGGTAACCCGCTACGACTGTTCCAGTCAATTAATAACGGCAACTAGAATCGGCATGCGCGATTATTCGCTAAAAAAGGAAGCTACAAAACTTGTAATCATATATAAATTTTAAAATATGCTTATGGAACAATATACCCTTTAACCTTAAGTTATCATACATCTAAAAATCTTTTAAAAGAAAATATAAACAATTGTTGATTGATATGTATGCATCTGAGTTTTCGTTTATCCTCTATAAGCAGTGGATAACTACATAAGAATGCCATCCTTTTTCATTTGTATTCTTTGTCTTCCTAATCATTATTCAAATATTTTACATAGTACACCCAGAAGTATTTCATTAACATTATTATTGTTTATTGTTATTTGTTTGTTATTTCATTTGTTATTTTCATCTTAGCCATTCACTAATTAATGTCTTTCTTGGAGGATCAGACTTAAAGCCTTTCTGGTTTATTGTTTACTCCACACACAATGAAAATTCACTGTGTCTAGGCAATCATAAATTTCTATCCTTATCATAAAGCACTATTTTGTCCATATTATTGTTATTTTGAATTTATTGAATAGAATGTTTTTTTATTTATGAACCAATATTTTTGAATTATTATAATGTTCTTATATTATGTTCATTGTGTGAAACAATAAACTGAAACTGAAAACTGAAATATATCATTTCCCTTATAGTACAGTATAGTTATAATTTCCAGAAATTAGTTTAGAAACTATATATTTCTTCACAGTACATCATTGATCCCTCCAACATAGCTTGCATACAAATCAATACAGTGATCCAGGAAGATTATCCGGCCATATCATCTAACTTCCTTACAATAAAAACATCAGTAATCATTCCAATAATTCTTACTAATAATGTGAAATAGCGTACTACATACACAAGGATTTACATAAGAGACTTAAAGCCTTTCTACATGTATGTGAAGTTGATTATCTGTCTATGTACAGTGTAATATGGAGCACAGTACTTGATGGTCAGTGATGAAGCTGATGTAGGTTTGCTGGTGACAGCTAGTGTATTCACTTAATGTTTCAATCAGTTAAGTGCCACATTACTTGTTTTGCTTGTATTTACAAGTGTATAATAATTTATATGTCCTTAATTCACAGGCGTTGGTTTACTCTAAGAAACAACCAGCTTGTCTATCAGAAGAGATCCAAGGTATTGAATAAAAGACTGCAAATAATTATCTAATTACTGTATTTATTCAAATAAACGCCTCTCGAGAATATACGCCCCAGGGCTTTTACTTTTCCTGCGTATAAATGTGCCCCCTTTCAAATAACTGTAAACAAATCTATGGAAGTAACATCATTCTCAACACCTTCTGTTAATGTTCTACTCCATTACAACGATTATAATTAGAATTGCAGTCTTTCTAACCAGATTGGGATCAGTAAGTCTTTATGATTGACACCCCAGGGTGTTTATTTAAATAAATATGGTAATTATATAATAATTTTAAAAAAACCCATCCCTAAGCCTCATAATTTATATGTGCAGATTCAGTACATAATAAGAAATATATATGGTACCTGCATGTTGGTGTGAACAAATATTAATTCTTCCACACCTGAGAAAGTTACTGTGCTCTACAAGTTTTGTGAATGTCAGGTAAATATGGCCTTTCAAAGCTGTTGATAGATTGGTTGTTTATGTGATGGATGGATTGATTGATTAGGTGATGGATTGATATATTGATTGATTATTTGATTGATTGATTGCTATTTCTGCAGGATGATTGTACAATAGCTGTTGAAGATTTACGATTGTGTACCGTAAAGTTTGCTGACGACTGTGAAAGACGTTTTTGCTTTGATGTCGTTTTGCCTGGCAAGTGAGTCTTCATAACATTTACTATTCCTTTTGGTTCCTATGCTTTCAAGCAAAGGAACCTTTAGGATACCTTTCGTGTGTATGTATGTATGTATGTATGTATGTATGTATGTATGTATGTGACATGTAATGGTACGCTGTTTTTTGTGGACAGGCAAAAGTGACTTTCCAGATATCTGTTTGTTATGACCGTCCATACCCAAGCAAAACTGGATATGATGTCGTGTCCTATTTAATAATTTTCTATTTTGACAAATATTAAAGACATAACAAATAAAATACAATACCTCCTACTCTTGAACTGTATGATAAGAGGAAAACATTTGTGGAATGTTGTTTACCTTCATTGTCCAACTAACTGTCTTAAATATGATGGATTGGTTGACAGGATAATCCTTGTGCAGCTTCTATCGGAAGCTAGACTGTGTGTACGGTATAGTGAAACCATTGTTATCTTCGACCCATAGTTAATGTAGGGGGGGCCCCCACCGTACAGGTCAAGCCCTTTCCCCCCCCCCCCATCAAACAGAGCTCGTAGGGCAGTTGGACTAAACAAAATTTAAGAATAGGCCCATGCCAAGCCAACACATGTCTGTCACAGTCTCAGTGTCATTTCTGGCCATCCAGAGGTTCCTATTCTTAAAAAAATCTCATTTGGAAGTGGGGGGGGGGACACCTTCACAAAATCTTCCATGATAATAATAATAATAATTTTGGTTTAAATAGCGCATTATCTTAAAGTCTTGATGCGCTTAACAATAAAAATGAAACTGCTGGATTAACACTTGAGGTCTCCCTGGTTTCGTTTGTTGCCATGTTTACATCATCGCAAATACGGTAGTGCTATATTTCATGAATGCCCGCATAGGAACCTTGGCCCTCACAGAGGTCTTGTTCTTTAAACTTATAATTTTTTTTATTGGGTTTTATACATGTTTTAACGTAACTTTCCATTGTGAATTGTTTTTAATTCATTAAGAAGACACTTAAATGCTATGCAGAATCCTGATTTGTGAAATCTTTCTCTTTAGTTTTACTGGTATACCATTATTAGTTTATGTTTCTAATCAGTTGCATTTTTGTTGTGTATATATTGAACCTGAATATATTTAGTTTGTTTTTGTCAGAACCATTGCTTTGCAGGCAGACAGTGAGAGTATCAGGAAGAAGTGGTCAACAGCATTTGCAGAAGGAATTAACTCAGCTTTCAACATCAGTCCTTCCAATGATGTAAAAAATGTAAGCACTTTGCTATATCAACCTGCAATGAATAGGGATGTTGGGAATCGTTTGTGTTGTGTCAACATGAGAGTTGTGACAACATGGAATATGTATGTATGTAGAGTATGTGTCAAGCGTTTAAGGTAGAGAATACATAAGTGAATCTATTGATGCATTGCATGTGGTGGGGCTACATAATGTGAACTCACAGGTGTACATCAAGTATACAGAAGGGTGGGGTGGGGGGATACAAGTGTGAACCTGTGTATGTATGTGTTGCTTTTTTGGGAGGTGGTGCTACATGTGTGTGGATATATGCATCAGGCATTTAGAGGTTGAAATACTTGCATGAATCTATGAATGTGTGTACAGTGTACAATATGTGTCAGATTTGCTAGCGTAAGTTCACATGGGTCAACCTGTAGTGATTGGATACATAAGGTAATAATATCACCTTTCACACCTTACCTATTATTATTGTTATTATTATTATTATTATTATTATTATTATTATTATTCACAGACTTATATTAGCAATACTGCCAACTCCACAGAAGATGATTCCATTTTACCAAGCACTTCAAGAAATGTAAGGTATGTCACTTAAGATTATCATTTATAAATAACCAAGTTTTCAAGGAGAAATACAATTTAATTTCCATGTGAGTATTGATTTAGTCGCAGCCTGAATTGCATTTGATATCAAAACAATGGACTTAGTAAATCTTGATAGTCGGCTGAAGATTATATACTAATATGCCACATTCGAAAACTTGAAAAGGGCTTAATTTTGATACCCCTTGGATCCTTATTGATAATAGTGCTTCTGTGCTCTGTATCCAGGCAGTGCACATTGGATTTTGCATAATGTTACCAGGTACCCATGTATGCAATGCAATATGGAACTTCATTACAAGAATAATTAGCGCTACTAATAACCCATAGCATTGTTTATGTTTTTTTATGTTTTTTTTTTTTTTTTATAGTTTTAGGAGTACGATTCAGGGAATACCTGGCAATGAAATATGCTGTGATTGTAGAAACAAAGGTAAACAACACTTTGACCAACAAAAATTACAAGATAAACTCTTAACCACAATTTAAACAAACACTTTAGCTAATAAATACACACGTATTAATAAACACAAACCTAGCATAAAAATGGAAGACAAATATTCCCCATAATAATTGATGTAAAATATGAATCTTAAGCACTCATAGTGGGTGAGGTGCATAAGTGATAACATAACGAAGACCATTACCATGATAACAACTACAACAGAACATAGATACTTAACACAAAAGCAGCTTCCTAGTAAAGGCTATTGTTTTTGGCAGTGTTTTTCATAGTGTTTTTAGTAGTGTTTTGTTTGTGGATACTTCATTTATATTACAATGATAATTTGAGTTGGGCAAATCTGATTGGTTCCAAATTTGGAAATCCATGATGAAAATATGTACCCAGAGTGATTTTGACACCTGTGGTAATAACATACTGATTGCTCATTTTAATATTTATTAACATAGAAAGTCCTATTCTCAGTACATAATGGTTGTTTTTTGTAGATCCTACCTGGGCTAGTATAAACCTTGGTGTGACCTTGTGCATAGAATGTTCTGGAGTCCATCGAAGTCTTGGTGTTCATATTTCTAAAGTGCGTTCACTTACTCTGGACGCTTGGGAACCAGAAACTCTAAAGGTAATGAAACCGCATGTGTGCTGCCTCGATCAACATGCTTATCTTATTGTCAGTGCAAGAGGTTCTTCACAAAATATTGTGGTATTACATTTGTATCATGTAGGCCTATCTAAGAATTACTACAACTGCAACCTGGTTGTTTTGTAGCAATTGACACTATGTTGATTTGTATTGCTTCTTGTCAAATGTGAAATTACCTTTTTATTATATACTTTTTGTTTAAATTTTTTCATCCAATACAATAGTAAGTACACTTGCCAAAATTACCGGATGGAACGAAGCGTTGATGTGATAATATCGCCCGTATTCTTAAAATGAACTTTAGTCGTACTTCGAACTAGAACTTCATTTAGTTTTAGTTCCAACTTCAATTTGTATTCACAAATAACATAGTGGAAGTTCTAACTACAACTAAATCAAGTCCTAGTTATAGTTCAGCTGAAGAAGGCTAACAAGCAACAACTATCAAACTAACCAATGAAAAGAGCTGATTTTAATAGCAGACAAAATTTTAGAGATCCGGCAACGCTGATGAATATTTAACTGCCGTCTGTCTTTCAAAAACATATTTCCTCATAATTCGTAATAGATAATCATTCACTTAATTAATTTTCTATAATAATAACTATATTAGTCGTTAACATCACTTGAAATTTGCTTTTTTTTGGAGAACTATAATAGTTGAGCCCGAGCAAGGGCGGCTCCATCTTTGTTGTTATGTTGAAGCTATGTGACCGCAACGCGAGGTCAGGAACTATCGCATGTGGCTAGCAAAACATGTTAATTTAGCCTTTTGGAAGCTGAACTTGATATCTCCTTTGTTTAACATACCGAAAATATATCAGACCTACGTATACATTAATTTTTATTGGTTTCACTTTATCGTGAGTTACAAAAAGCATGTTTTTAGTGGGGTAAATATTTATAAGTATAAGTCAGCGATTTAGCTTGATCGTTAAAAATTTGGCCTGCAGAGGTATCATTTTAGTCAAGGTTCGCATGATTCAGTCGAAGTTCGAAATGACATAATTTTGAAGGTTTTGCTTGAACTACAGCTAAAGTTCGTTTTAAGAATACCGGGGACAGTGTGATTAAGGAACTGTGAAGCAATAAACTACGTCTCAAGAATCTGAATCTTTGTCCAGATATTCAATTTTCTTTGACAAAAACTCTTGTATGCCATATAAAGTCATGATATGTTTAAATATGGTCAAGATGTGATGTCATCATGACCATATTTAGGCATATCACATGTTTTTGTCAAATAATATTTGATAGTCTAGAAAGGGTTTAGAGTCAGGAATGAAACTACAGTATGTGTGAATGCACTACTTAAATTGTAGAAATGTCTTATTTTATGTAGTGTACATTATGCCAGTAAATGTTTAATAATAAATAAAAACAACTGTTTTCTTTAGGTTATGGATCAGTTAGGCAATATTATTACCAACAGCATCTATGAAGCGAATGCTGATGTAACAATGACCAGAGCCAAACCAGGCTGTTTGCAGTGAGCATCTCTGTTTTACTATTTATTTTTATTTTGTTATATCTACTACTTCCATAAATATTTTTATGGCTTTTGAGTCAGAGGCAAATCACCTCTTCAACATGCAGATTACACCCATCTCCATCATTTTAGATAGGAATCTCACTTCCCGGTTTGAGTGATATGCAAATTATTCCCTCTTTGTACATTTTCAATAACATTAGATAGATTTATTTACATAGTAATAGTTATTAAAATGCCTTGTATCCCATGTTTTTAGAACTCCTAGATCTTTCCATCTTCTGACTTCCTCTATTTACATACGTTATACTGACATTCTATATCAACACAAACATTAAAGTATGCATCCAAAAGTAATAAATATTTTGGGTAACATTCATAATTTATATTATTGTTGTTCTTGTTGTTGTTGTTGTTGTTGTTGTTGTTATTATTATACATATTCGTATGCTGATTTGCAGATCTGTTCGATTGTCCTGGATCAGAGACAAATACGTCAATAGGAAGTTTGTTTCCCAAGAACCAGGAAGCCCGACAAGTGGAACACTCAAGAGGCGAAGGTTATCGCAAAGAAGCTCAGGTACTATTGTAAATTATTGGAAACATTTATTTTATATAAGTGTGAAAGGAAAATATTTCTCTGGTACCTAAAATCATGTTAAAGATAGATATGCTATTCTAATATATTGAAATAATTTTGAAATATTTTAATAAGATATAAGTATTTTTGGTGTGAACAGCAATAACAACCCAATTGTGGGGCCTAGTGTTGAACTTGGCAATACACCAGGAGAGAATCCCTAACCTTTGTACTCTGTTCTTTAACATGCACATGGGCCATATTATAAGAAGAAATCTAAGAGGATTTTTTCAATTCACCCTTAAACTTGGTTTTAAATGTCTTTTTTAAATCTTTTAAATCTTTACTTTTTTAAGAACTTTGAATGTTTTAATAATCTCACTTGTGTATTTATTTGTAATAGTTGTTATACTTATATTGTAATAAATGAATATAATAATAATCGTAATAAATAATAATCACAATAGCAATTTGAATGAATATTTAGAATGATTTCCTGTTTAATGTACTTTTTTGCAATGAAAAAGTTTTATTTGAATGAAAATACCTTGATATACCTTGATATCTGCAACCAGCCGACTGAAGCTGCTCTCACAAATACTAAATACATGCCAAACAAATATAAACATACTCTGGTCTAAGAATTTTACAAAATAATGTATTTATTTTCTCAGGTGGGTCATTATGTAGCGGATTGAGTGCAGAAACACTAGCAGCTGTTGGGATTCCTCCTTCCGCTTTTGGTGGTAAGTTTGGAATATTTATTTGAATTGATTTAATATATTTTTTCAAATAATGAATTATTATCCTTACATACATTTTTTCAATTTTTATCAAAAATGTTTAGTACAAAAATATAGAAATATCATATAATTATATAAAAAACGTAAAAATATCAATCTATCAAATACAAGATAGAAAGAAAAATGGAGAAAAACCACAGAGAAGTTTTCAAAATTATGTGTTTTAAGAGCTGTTTTTGAATTTGACAAAAAAAAAAACACAATCTTGCATAGAAATAGATAAAGAATTCCAAAGGACATAAAATCTGACAAAGATGATTTACAGCAGACAGTTTTTGTAAAAGGAGCTTAAATATACAATTATCCATATGTCGTGCTGTAACATAAATATGTTTTATAAAACATCCATTTCATAATAACTAAAGAGACACTTAACGACAAATAAAACAGAAAGAAATCGACTCAAGAACAAATTGATGAAAGCCTTTAAATATGAAGTTTGTCATTGGAAGACTGAATGCTAGAAAGAAAAAAAATCATTGTTAGATGACACTGAGGTTTATCATTGAGATTCTGAAGAAAATAGTATTAGGGGAAACATTGCTTAATTTGGGAAATATATTTTGCAAACCTTTTAATAGAAACCCAGTATTCTGTTGGCAACCCATGTTCTGATAGCAACCCATCTTAAATGTTGATCTTTAAAAAATTATTGCAATAGTTTACTATTATGGAATGCTAAAATACTGAATTATAAGCCTACAAATGACCGTAAAATCAACATTTTGCTTTACAAATTATTTTTTCTTTAACAATACATGTGTAAAAAGTGCGTACCATATGTTTTGAGTATAATATGCAACAATTATTCATGTAAGGTGTTAACACAACTCAGAAATCTGTTAGTTACCCACCCTAAAAACCAAACCGAGGAACATTGGCCCGGGTTTTTTTTATTAGGTATTTACTCTAATATGATTGTGAATTTTCACCACACTTAACTTTACTAAAATGGTGCCATGATTACAAACGCATTCTTGGTACCTGTTGTCATAGCAATGCTTAAACAGCCAGGTTTGTTTTTGGTTGCAGAAGACAATGATAGTGATAACTCAGATGCAGAAATTTTAGATGAGCCCCCTCCTGATAAGGTCAAAGGTTGGAAGAGCCTAGATGCCAATGCTCGCTTAATAAAGGTATGTTACTCAATATGAAGTTATCACTCTACATGCTTGTAATCATTTACTAAGTATGTGCTACTTAAATGTTAGTAAAGATTTTTATACGCTATCCACATTAACAATCTTTATGTGACAAATATTTTCGATTTACTAACAAGCTTTTTGTGGTAAAGACAAGCCAAACCAGTCACTCCTCGCAAATCATGTTTTGGAGATAATGGCCAAAACATGTTGAAATGTCAAAATTGTATAAATCCATTTTATTGCACTAAACTAGCCCTTATATATCTATACATCATGCTATGTTGTTATTTTCCCAATTTTTGATGTTAAAACAACATTTTTTAATGATTTGGTGATGGTCTTTGTCTGATAGTTCCTCAAAATTTTAAACTTTGAAGGCTGATATCTTAAATACTGTTACTTAAACAGCTGTATGTTTAAACCCCTGTAACTTCACAACTAAATGTTGGATTTAAAAGATTCTTTCACTATTTTATATCTTTTATTTTACTGTTTAACCCTGTATTAATAAATAAAAACCAATTTCTACAAGGAGTGACTATATTGGCTGGTTTTGCCACTTATATCTATAACCCAACTAAGTTAAATTTTTAAGTTCATCAATGAATCAACAGGCTTCAGGATTGGGCAACGTATCGATGGCATTAGAGGCTCTAGCGCAAGGAGGTAACATCAATCCCAGCATCCCTAGCGATGCAAGGACTACGCCATTACATGAAGCAGTGGCTGGGGTTAGTTACGTTTGTTATCTTAATCAATCTTTCAAGTATATAGCTTTTGTTAGCAATTTGTATTGTCCCTTATACTGTACACATGTGAAACCTATTCAGAATACCTACCATTTTATATTTTTAATAAGTTATATTTTATAACTTCTTCCGTTACTTATTGGACAAGAACTTATGGTGCAATTTTTCTTAAATTGTTAAAAGTATATATGGTGGGTGAATAATAATAAGCAGAGCCAGATCCAGGATGATGGCAACATGGGCTAATCCCCCCACCCCCAGTAAAAATAGAGAAAAAATAAAATAAAGGGAAAAGAGGCGAGCAAACAAGCTAAATTTCAATTCCACATACCAATGTCTATAGTCAAACACTTCTAAACAAAAATCTAAGACTCCAACCCTTTTCCGCACCCCCGGTTTGACAGGCGTAAAATTGTGAAGCGGCTAGACTCCTTGTTAGCGTGATGTGCTGTATTACACTGACATATAGTTATTTTGTATTTACCTTATTTTCAGGGTTCCCTTACCACCGTAGAGTTTCTGTTATTAAATGGTAGTAAAGTGAATTCACAAGATGCAAATGGTAGAACACCTTTACACATTGCAACAGACAAAGGATACACTGGGTAATGCTGTTACTACTAGTAATATTTTACAGTAATGTAGGCCTATTTATATATTATATGTACTGTATTTGTTTATGTATTAAAATTCCAAAAGGTCCTTGCTACATGCAGTTGAAATAGCGTGTTGTTCTCTATGATAATCATGCACACACACACACACTAAAATTATATAAATTGTCACGTTATAATTTATGCACAGATACAGTATAATTGTGAATTTGAGATTTTCCGAAATAAATTCATTTGAACATTCATTTTCAAACACATATATTATCTCAGATAAGAAAGTATAACACATAATCCAAGTATATAAATGCATGCCATCGTGTTGGGATTCACTATTACGACATTAAGTCATCATCAGGTATATATTATCTGTGTTTGTAATTGAATTACAAACACAGATAATCTTGATAATTAATTAATTATGTAACAAAAATATATACATTCGTTTTCAATTGATATTGATTGATTGATTCCATTTTCTTTTGAACAGTTTTGTTTGCTTGATGTTAAAACGTGGTGCTGACCAAGATATTAAGGACAAAAATGGTCAGGTTAGTATTTGGTTCAATGTACATAATATGCCAATTCACCTATTTTCATGGTTACAAAACCAGACTTTCCTGTAGTCCCAGTATGCTTTCATAAATGTACAGTATCCTTAGTCCTAGCACTTAGGAATATTCAGCCCACCTGCCTACTCCAATAGGAGTATCCTGCTAAAATATTCCAAATTGGTTGCGTTTCCAGCCCACCTGCCTGCTCCTATTGAGTATCCTGCTAGAATGTTCCCTTTTGGTTGTGTTTCCAGCCCACCAGCCTGCTTCTATTGAGTATTTTGCTAGAATGTTCCCTTTTGGTTGTGTTCCCAGCCCACCAGCCTGCTTCTATTGTTGATAGCAGATTAAATTTTTGTTTGTTTTTTTTTTTTAAATAATGAATGACTAAATTCACTAATGTTTGATTTTTCTGTAAGCTTGGTTCAAAGTTGGTTTGGCTGTAGAAAGGTAGATGACATATGGTTTGTATGTGCATTAGATGAATGACAAGGTCTTGCAAATTTGATGAATTATAAATACAAGGTTCCAAACAGGAGGGCAGTGTTCCTGCTACAATTATTGTTGCTTTTGAAATTGTGTATGTGTTGCTGAAGGATGGCATGTACCATTGATTCTCTTTGTTATCTTGCAACATGGTTACTTTTGCTGCTGTGTAGGGAGATTGCTCTTTGTATTTTGTTGCGTGGTTAATCTTGGTATCTTGTAGCATGATTGATGTTGGTATCATGTAGAATGATCACTGCTAGTAGTCCTTGCATGATATCGTAGGCCTCTCAAGAATGAGCATGTGTCACACTGCTGCCCTCTATTCCCAAAAGACCATTACATCAACAAAACACTAGCATTGATACCTGCAGTGCATGCCAGCTACATGTTTCGGTTACAATAACTGTAGATGTTTGCATTGTCCAATTTACATATATTTGACGGGAAACTAATTCGCTGTTCAAAACCTGAAACAGCGAATTGTAATGCTAAAATTTCCCCTGTGGACAATGTTAAAATGTTTTATTGGAAATGAAAAATCAGAAATTATTTTTCCACTAATGTTGCTGAAAAATATGACCTCTCCTGAAGGTGGTGTATTGGTGGTGCTTTTGATTTGCTGTTGCATGGGAATATAGGTGACTAAATATGTTTTGCTAAATGTTTTAAAAAAACAATATTTTTTTCTAGTTTGACATTCTACAATAAATTACATTTTTTTTTTTTTCAGAATGTTTTGTCGATATCAATCAATAAAGCAAATGCAGATATTGTTACTCTGTAAGTTTAAGTTTATTTAATACAAGTTTTGGTCAGTAATTTGAGATGGATTACGAAAAGTCTTCTGAAATAATCTACTTTGCTTTAATAGTGAATCATTACAACATAAGGAAGGAAATGAACGTTTCCACTCTGGTCAATACAATTGTTATCACATGCAGTGATGCAAGATGAATAGTTATGTTGTAATAATATGATAGTAACATTGGTATGGTAAAACATCTCCACTGGTGATTAGATAATTAAAGAAGGTGTTTATCCATACCAAAGTTACTATCATGCGATTTACTAATATTTATTGCATATTTTGCAATACCTTGAGAAAATAAACATGTGCTAATGAGAGAATCGAAGGGTGTACACCTCTTAGCCTCATAGCTCATTTGGTAGAGTATCTGAATGGTATAAGCTGGGTTTGAATCCTGATGGGGACATACATGTTCCTCAAGTATTTACCTGTTGTAATATCTACAGTAATGACATAACTTGTCTTCCTACATCACTGTTTTCATTCTAGAGTTCTAATGTTATAATGTGATTATTAAGCCTATTTTTATTTTGATCTCACCATTGGTATTTTTTTTAATCACTTTATTGCTAAAAAGAATATTAAAAAAAAGGAGACAAAAAAAACAGGACATAGGCAAGGACGTGACACCACGCAGGTTGGATAAAAGGGAACACACTTTTTTTTTTAATGTAAAAAGAAGAGAACATTGAAATAGAGAAAAATGAGTTAAGAAATAATTAAAAATTGGAGTTTACATTTTAAAATAGCAAAATAATTTTATATAAAATTAATTTTTGGTGTCCATACGGTAAAACGTTCTAAAGTAATGATGAAAGAAATTGTTTGGCGATAATGGGCACACAAGAGCGCCTGGATGGGCAGTGCTACTAAAAGATGTAACACTGCGTATAATAACCCCAAAATTGGAGCAAGGGTGTTATAATGCAAGATTGGCAACCAAAAAACCGCCTGCCTGACACATAACCAACTATGGGAAGGATTGGTGGGTGAGCTTTTTTAAAAAAGAAGATTACCACATAGAAACAACGATTGAGGAAGAATGTGATGCGTTTTACCAAAATCAAACACCTCTAACTACCATATTGAACAAATGAATGTACACACACATTAAAGCACACCACATGCGTTCACACTGAGCTCGACAGCATAGAACAGAAAAAAAGAATTGCCTACTGGCCCCAGAAAATAAGTTTGTAAAACAAACTTCCATTTATTAAAAACAATACAATTATTTCAAATCTATTATTAACATTTTTATGACGTTAAATGTCATTAATAGTATAATCATGATGTGATTATATAATTGATGTGATCATAAAATTGTTATGATCACATTAGTGTGATCACTTCATTAGTGGTAAATATACTTTGATTTGTGTTAAATGTTGACAGGTTACGTCTTGCAAAACTCAATAAAGAAATGAAGGAATCATCAGATTACGGAAATCAAGGTACGGTATCATTATTATTAACTCTAGTTAATATCACCTAATAGTTGATGTATTCAATTATTGTTTTATATATTTCTGTTTGTATTGTAATTTTATTGTATCTATATAAATTTGGTTTTGCTGATTGCATAGTAAATACATTAAAATAAAGATAGGGCCTTGGGCTAATTAAAATGTATTTATTCAACGGGACCATTTAGTACTTCCACTATCACACACAAGATAACTCATCTAAATTATGTAGATAAGCATAGAGAAAATAGAACAGTTCTATTTTCTCTATGAGATAAGTATGTAAACATAATCCATTTAGCAGTGGTGATTATGTCATTAGCATACTTATCAGCACATGTGACAATCAAATTGGTTTTAATGAGATCACTAAAAAATAGATCATGAATTGTAATATTTGATACCCGAACTATTCCAAATATATTTATATTTTTACAGTTATAAACACTAGTAAACACTTTTAGACATTTATTAATTCTTATACATATTCATTATTGTATGTTTTTTTTTTTATAGGAGATGAAACCTTTCAGGATGTGTTTAGGGATTTTACCAATATGGCATCCAATAATCCAGATAAACTGAACAGAAATCAAAGCAGTGACAATATTGAGAGTACAGTGTAATCGCAGAGTGCCTATAGCACACCGAGGGAGAAGGGAGATTAGTGAAGGTATTGGGTGTGGGGGTGGCAGGAGTGTGGAGCAGCGAGTGTACTGGGAGAAAGTGAGTAGTGTGGGCTTAGATATGTTTTATTAATACAGGTAGTATAATACAGGGGTGTTATTGTGAGTGATGACTCATAATATATCATCTCTATAAATAAACAGCTACATTCGCTAATATTGAAGTGATAGTATGATGCAATCTCAGTGTAAGTTCATTGTTTTCAGCACGAATCCGTACCCCAAATTCAGTCTCGCTAATTTTCAAAACTTAGTTTTCCAGATGTTTCTACACAATTCTTATATATGCTGGAGAATTATTGAAGTTTGCTATTTTTATGACAGATTTGAAATTTATAGAATTATATTGCTACAAATTTATAATTATGTAAGGAGTGACTTGTCAACTTTTATTATTTATATAACAACATGTATTCTTATACAAAATTATGTATATATTTTTATGATTTATTTTTTTTTGTTGGAAAACATTTTTTATGAGCAAGAATGTAATGTGTGCTTTGTTCATTGATCATGAGCTTTCAAATATTGTTGACAATCATTTGTTAAAATGTAAACAGTGTTTTGTGGATTCAATGTCCGGTGGCTGGACCTGTCTGCTATGGGACACTTATATTTCACTGGACAAGGATTGGATAAAACAAATCTAAATTTCGAAACAAGTTAGTACATTACAAAATAATGCAACAGTTTATGTATTTTGGAATATCCTAATAAAAGACATGAATTTGAAAGACAACAGAGAAAAACTTGGGTTTTTATCACCATTGTTAACATGATCCTCATTGTCATCATCACCTTTTATAGTTTATAATTATTTACAATCCTTAAATCAATTCCTTATTGTCAGGACTATTACTGTATTAGCTTACACAAAACCACAACCTTCTTTAATTTTGTTTGATTGGACAAACAGCTTTAATGGCATTAATGCTCAAGTGTATACTTGTGTGTTGGACTGCTATTCTCCTATTTAATTTGGAAAATGAAGTGTGGGTTGAGTGAATATGTATTACTTGTGGCAAGGCCTAGGGGGAGGCCTAGGTAATGGTGGCTCTGGGATTTGCCCGGTTACCCCCAAGGAAGGCCGATTTCCTCGAGGGGAGCATAATTGGGCAAAGGCTACCTACCATGCACTGTAATGCAAACCTATGTGCAATGTAATGTACAGGCGTAAACTGGTTGATATTCACGATGATGTCAGCCATTTTATGAACTTTGATTGGTTCAACTCTTATTAAGAGTTCATATATTATTATTGTTGTTGCTATTATTATTAATGACAAAAATAACTTAAGCCATCTTTTTTCGAAAACCAAATGACCATCTTCCCAATAATTATGGTATTTAATTAATACGATATGTGTTTCAGAAAATATATAAGTTTATCAA